AGAGAGAGAGAGAGAGAGGGAGAATGAATGTTTTACGGAGCGGGTTGTCCCAGCCCGTGAGATATATATGTATTTGCCTAGCCTAATGTCCTGTCTTGTTGCGCCTTTGCGTGAGTGCACCTTTAAGTCTAACTTTTGTAACGTCTACTGCCATTGTTAACGACCAAGACAAATTTCTTCCTGCGAGATGAAAAAGATTGTCATTGTCATTGTCATTGTCAAACTGGAGTTTTCGTAAACGTGAATATTTTTATCAATTTTCAAGGATTTTGAGGTCATGATTCAGTGCATCCACAGACTTTATATAATTTACGCAACTGAAAACATTTTAACCCATTTCTCCGACTTTGTTTAACCCTTTCGCGACTTATTAGGTTTCAGCAACTTTTACTGGGTCCAACTTGCGTTAGTCAGAACTGTAGCACTTTCAGTCTTTTTGTCGCGACTTTCAGAATCAATTTCGTTCTCCCCCCCCCCCCCCAATAAAGAAGATTTCAAATCAAGGCAAACGATATTCGGCCAACAGCGTTCGGAACATTCACAAAATGTGTGTGTGTGGGTGTGTGTGTGTGGGGGGGGGGGGGGGGGGATTGGTCTATCTCCGCCGGATACGTCTCCGGACAGATACTGTGAGCATGTCTGCAGGTTGATCTGACAGTTGTCATAAAGTCGTCTGGTGTCGGAGGACTCACACTGAGACAAGGCCGGACTACTTGACCTCTTGACCTCACCGTCTGGTCCTGTCTGAAAAAGCGGACGATTGAAGGGGGAGCATGCTCTGCAGTTTACTATCTTTTTTTTTTTTTGGGGGGGGGTAAGTGTTTTAGAGAGCTCGCAACTGCATGAGGCCATATGAGCGCGCGGGACACATTCAACACTTTCAGTTGGTAGGAAATTTGGAATTTTGACCAGGTGGCGGCTGAAGCCTACTCTTATCGAGGGAGGAAAGGGGTGGGGTTGGGAGAGGTGCTGTTACTGAGACACAAAGTACTGTTGTGGTAGAGCCAGCCTCCGCTCAAATATACGTTCGGTCGTATCCGGCACTTCGATGACCTAATTGTGTTGCAAGTGCTGTAAAACTCTAACGAAAACGAAACAGTCAACTCTGCTCTTACGGCACCCTTCCTTGACAATCGCCAGTACAAAACGTCACTTCCTACTTGCCTCCTCACTCCCTTCCCCTGGTTTTTTGTCGCATTATAATGCCTCATAAAGTGGAAGGTGTTTGTCCGTGGCCTATACCCTGGTGCAGGATGAGAATGGCAATGATGATAATGTCTCATCCCTCCCCTCCCTTTGCCTTTTGTCGCATTATAATTCCTCCTCACTTCCCCTTGCTTTTTGTCGTACTATAGTTACACTGTCTAAGACGCCAATCTATCTAAGACAACCACTTTTCCCCTCGACAACGAGTGTCAGTCTTGGGAAGTGTCTATAGTATTAGGATATTACCCTTCAGACCAGGCGCCGTAAAGCCCAAAATCTTTTAGTGCGCTTCAATTGGTCGAAAGGTGACCTACAAAAAGTGACGCCCGGGTGATTGGATCGGATCAGCTTGTCTTTGAGCCATCAATCACTGGGCCGATGTGTCTTGGCACTGGTCGTGAGGTCCGAGTTGGTCATGTGACAGCTGTTAATAGTCTTGATTGAGCCAGGGAGAGAAGCTTCCAGCAGGGTTTTTCTTGTCGAGTGCGGCAGACACATTTTGTGGGCGTGAGAGATGTTTTAGAGATTCTGTAGTGTATGTATGTATAGTATGGGGTTTTACGGCGCTCACAACCGCAAAAGGTCATAATAGCGTGCATTCTGTAGTGTGGCGATGTTTGACCGTTAACTACTTCAGATTTACAAAGTTCTATCTTACTTTTGTTTTGACGTTTTGAGTTACTTAGACCATGAGATGAGAAATAAATAAATGCTCCATCTGCTTTATAACAATCATAAGAATATTCGTAGAAGTTATCAAGATATTCAAAGAATTGTATTCGAAAAAGCTTGACATATTGTGAAACTCAAAAGTTTTGACATCTTCTTTTTAAAGTTTTAATAAGAGTTTTACGGCACTTGAAACACAATAAGGTCATTTAAGTGCTGAAGATAAGATAACGTGTTACAAGAGAGTAACATGCACAAAAAAGAAGGACGGGAGATAAGGACGACAGATGTTTGATAGGAAAGAAGGAGCAAACTACACCAGAACACCCGCCAGCCACCCACGTTTTGACGTCAGATTTCTCACAAACAGGTTTTTAGGAGATAGAACTTTGTAATTCTGAGGTAGCGCATTGTTTATCGTTGTGGTATAAAAAATGTTTTGTTTTTGTTGCTTTTTTACTCAGTGGGTCGATGTTATTCGACCATATTATATACATACATTTCCACTCCCGTACGCGTTTGGCAAAAACGATGATCATGTACTCATACTCGGACATATACACACACATACACACACATACACACACATATAAACACTCACACACAAAGGCAAACACACAGGTATATACATACACTCAAACACACACACACA